AGAGAGAGAGAAAGAGACTGAGACACAGAGAGAGACAGAGAGAGAGACAGAGAGAGACAGAAAGAGGGAAACACAAAGAGAATCTCCAAAGCTCCCAGATTTTAAATGCATTTCCAATAAAACATCAGGCAAAGATTTCATCCCTACTATTTTTAGCAGGATGTAATTAAAGAGAGGAGGATTTAAATTAATTGAATTAAAGTTTCCCAAGCACTTATTAAAAGATAGAGAAGAGCCATTTGATACTTACTTTAGATATGTTTACTGCTGATTTTAATTTCTTACAGGGAACTTTGGGGTTCTAATGTAATATTGCTTTTTCTACGTCTAAGATAGGTTTGTTTGTTTGTTTGTTTGTTTTCTTTTTCAGGCAAAATGCCAAATGCAAACACAGACATGCATATTTGCATGTATTTGATGAACATTTTCAGTCAGGCAATTCTTCCAAAGTACAATCCTTTCAAAAATGTTTATAAATTAAGTTGGCTGACCAGGAAGATTTCTCCTTTTGTTTTGCTTTCATAGCAATAACAATAGCACTTAAACTTATACAGGCAGTCCTTGACGTATGACCACAATTGAGCCCAACATTTCTGTTGTTAAGTGAGACATTTGTATAAATGAGTTTTGCCCCATTCTACGACCTTCCTTGTTATAGTTGTTAAGTGAATTACTTCAGTTGTTAAGTCAGTAACACGGTTGTGCAGCAAATCTGGCTTCCCCGTTGACTTTGCTTGTCAGAAGGTGGCAAAAGGGGGATCAGCAACAAGCCAAGCATCTGAATTTTGATTGCGTGATGATGGAGATATTGCAACGGTCGTAACTGTGAAAAAAGGTCATAAGTCACATTTTTCAGTGCCATTGTAACTTTGAACGGTCACTAAATCAGCTGTTGTAAGTCGAGGACTACTTGTATACCACGTCATAGTGCTTTACAGCAGTGGCCCCCAACCTTTCGGACACCTGGGACTGGTTCTATTTTTCCACACACTGGAGGGGATGTGGTTTCTCATCCTGCCTATATCCCATGGATGGGGTTTTGTGTCAGCTTTGGAGACCATATTCCATGCTGCCACATAGTTTGAGAAAGTGGGAAAGGGTAATTTGTACTGAGTAGTTCTAAGTAGACAAAATAAAATGCTTCTGTTAGTTCAAGGTTATTAAGTGTGGCGCAGCAGGAAAAAAAGGGATCTTACACTGGGACGGATCCTGACTGGTCCATGTGATGTGATGATGGAAAAAGGGGGTGGATTGTAGGTTGGGACATTGTGGAAAGTCCAGGGGAAACTTTTAGTTTTGAGATTCCACAGATGTGCCAGGTGCCATTCTAATAAAGGTACTTTTGAGATGACGTCTGTCAAAGAGATACCGATTGGAATGGAGGTTTGCTGGAATGCTGACATTTGGTTTGTTTGTGTGGCCCAATTTCTGGTACACTGTGGTCCAGTACCAATCCACAGACTGGAGGTTGGGGACCCCTGCACTCTCTGGGAGGTTTACATCATCAGCATACAGTTGATGTTGTAATAGTAATTAATCCACCAATAACCTAAGTCCTTATTTTATTGACCTCAGAAGGATGGAAGGCTGAGTCAACTTTGAGCTTGTCAGGACTGAACTCTAGACTGTTGGCAGAGTTCTAACCATGTGAGAACAATCAACCCACGGAACAGAAGTTGCCTTCAGAAGTTGTGGGAGCTTCATTACTTTCAAGAAGAAATTTGACTACCATTTGTCAGAAATGGTGTAGGTTCTCCTGCTTGGGCAGGGTGGAGGGGTTGGAATAGATGACCTTCAAGGTCCCTTCCAACTCTGGTAATCTGAATACTTCCACCATCAGAGTTACTGAATGTGTTCATATACAACCCAACCCCAGATGCTCAAGGAGTTCACAGTGGCAACTAAATTGAGAATTCAGAGACAATATAAGATCATCTGAGAGTTATGTTGTCCACAACCTGTTTTGTCCCCCTCTCATTAAAAGATCACTATTATTTGATCTATCAAAATCACTTTATACAAGAGATCAACATATGCAGACGAGGGCTGCTCCGAATATCCATAAAGTCCCCATAGCCAGTAAGTTCAACCCTAGCATTTTGGTTAAAAAGAAAACTTTGAAATAGTTTTTACTCATAAGAATTTAATTGTGGTTCCCTTTTACTCAAATTCAAGTTAATTTTAGTTGAATTTCTTACATAATACATGAGTCTTAGAGGCTGGCTACATGCACTATAGCAATAGCAAGCAATAGCACTTAGATTTCTATATCGCTTCACAGTGCTTTACAGCCCTCTCTAAGTGGCTTACAGAGTCAGTATCTTGCCCCCAACAATCTGGGTCCTCATTTTACCCACCTCGGAAGGCTGAGTCAACCTTCAGCCTGTGAGATTTGATCTACCAAATTGCAGGCAGGCAGCAGTCAGCAGAAGTAGCCTGCAGTACTGCATTCCAACCACTGTGCCACCATGGCTCTATCTTCCTTCTGTGTGTTTACACTGAAACCTGCACCCTAGTCTCTTAACATGCTATTCCTTCCTGATCTGCTAAGTAAATGAGAATAATTTTCTACATCTAGATTTCTAGCTTTCCTTTGGGAACCACATCTCATTGGCCTGTTTAAAAGCATTCTACAAATTCTTTAAGCCATGAATTGTACCCTCAAATGGCCAAGCAAGTTCTGGATTTGAGTTCTCACTCATTTCTGTATTCTTCCCCAAATTGCATGCCATTCTTACACAGAAGCCCTGCTAATCTTCTTTGTATCATTCCAGTTTTGGTATATGTCCTGCCAAATGCTATTTATCTGCAAGAAATTCCATTACTAGGCTTAGATTATGGTAAAATAGGGTTCCCATTACATCTTGTCTTGGGCATTTGGAGAGAGGCTGAGGACAATGTTCTGAACATAATACGTGCATGAACTTGAGATCTTCTAAAGATTGCCTCTGTAAGGAAGCGTTGTGATCATCACATCACTCAGCAAAGTTCAGAGGTATCCTGGATTTAGTGCAAAACAGTTGTGCAAAGATAGATGTACGGTAGTGCATTGCTTCTTTTCCCATCTTCAGCTTCTCTTTACACTCTGCTAATACTTCTCTAGACAATAAGAATAGGTGTTTGGGTTTCATTTATGCTGCTATAAAAGCTATTAGAACCTTTGAGATTAAATGCATTTAATATTTTCATGTAATATAGGATTTTTAAAAATGAATTCATTCACTTTCTCCCTCTCATTCACAAACACATAATATGCACAAATACACATACATGCAGTCACTCAAACAAACACACACACACACACACCCCACACACCCTCCCATGAAAAATGTTACTACACCTGCTGAGATACTTTTCAAACAATGGGTCATGAATCTTCACCCCATAACTTTTATAGACACAGTGGGCAACCAGCAAGCAAGATACATATGGCAGCCATAAAAGGAGGGATACAGGCCCCTAAATCTTTGGAATATCTCAAAAGTTGGAGATTTGACAAACTTTAATCTTTGATGAAAGTTCTGCAGCTAGCTTAGATTTCTGGAAAGCCTTATTTTGCGAAAGAAAGGACAGAAAACCAAATGGAACTCTTTAGATTTTTTTAGGAAGAATGTCCAACAGCCAGGGATTCTTCATTAATCTTATCTTTGAGATAAGTCAAATTTGAATTATGAATATAGTTATTAGGTTTTTAATATATGCCATTATTAAAAGCCCCACAAAGACTCGGTGATCAATATTTGTTCCTTCTTCATTTCAGCAGTCTTGAAAAGGTGTATACTTTGAGTCTGAATCAGCACAATATCATGCCTTGTATATATTTATCAGCGGATAAAAATCAGAGTTTTGTGTCATTTTAACTGACTGAGATAGCGTCGAAAATTGCTGTACTTATGCATTTTTTTTCATCAAAGTGAATGTTTTTGTCAGAATGTTTTAGTTGTCCCTCAAGTACATTATGACATATTAAGAAATGCAATCATCCAGTTTCTTTTAAAGAATTACATTTTAATGATCTTGTTATATTGTTGTGCACATTTTTCACTGTGCTTGCTTTTTTTTATTAAAAAAAATATGTTATTTCAACAAATCATCAGAAACAGAAAAAAGGGCACTTCTTTCTTCCATTTTTCTGCCAACAAAAGATAGCCATAAATTATTTTTTGATGTTTTCCTTGGTATCAGACTACTGATAATGGCTGTGTGTGTGTGATACAGGAAACACACACATACACACACACACACACACACACACACATACATAGAGAGAGAGAGAGAGAGAAAGAATAGAAATCTGCAGCTCCTAGCATTCAACTTTTCTCTAAAGGAAAAAAATACTGTATATATCCTATTACTTCATCCCAAAAACTCAGCAGTCCAGGACATGAATTATATTCAGTAGATTTATCATCCATCTGGCTTACCTGGTTTCAACAAAATAGAAGTTATACTGGAATGTAGAAGGGGGGAAAATCAGCAGGGTGGATTCTAGAAGATAAATTTATAACATGCTCACAAATCAGCTGGAATAAATTTAAAGGGCCTATCACTGAATATTAATTACCTTTTCACAAATACTGTAATAGGTCACTGAAAGCTTATTATAAATGTGGATTAAGGTTTTCTTGCTTTGCCTGGCACATTTGGAAATGCCTGTGTTAAGGTGAACACAGTTTGCCCTCCATTATCAAACTTGCTGGCTCTTTAGTCTTGTATGTTCTTTTTTCTCCAGTAATGTAATAATTGTCTTGTTGTAAAAGATTGAAAGCCATTTAGTTCAAGTGTTCCTCTGGTCTTTGCTTTCCTCTTTCAAAAACCTTTTTAAAAAAAAAAAAAGTTGTCACTTTTCTTTGCTATTCCCAGACTTTACTTATTAGTACAGCAAAAACTCTTGAGTATGGATCATTTGTGCAATAGAATCTTATCCTTCTTTTTTCTGTTCCTCTTCTGAGTTTTCTCTGGAATTAGAACTAGAACTGGCTTAAGCATTTCATAATGTCAGATATTATAAAAAGTTCTAAAGCTGTAGGTTCTAGAAACAAAATATTGAATTTAGGTTCAGAATATGACACAGTTTTTTTCTTTCTAGGTCCTAAGCATTGACATTCAATTTATGCATCAATTAAATATGTGATAAAGTGCCTTATTCTAACAGGCTGGTTAGAAATTGGTGGGAACTGGAGTCCAAGAATCTCTTGCTGAAGATAACAGAATAACAGAGTTGGAAGGAACCTTGGAGATCTTCTTATCCAACCCCTTGCTCAAGCAGGGAATCCTATATCATTTCAGATAAATCGTTGTCTAATCCCTGTTTAAAAAAATTCCGCTGTTGGAGTATCCATAACTTCTGGAAGCAAGTTACTCCACTGATTCACTGTTCTCACTGTCAGGAAATCTCTCCTTAGTTCTAGGTTGTCTCTCTCCTTGGTCAGTTTCCACCCATTGCTTCTTGTCCTGCCCTCAGGTGCTTTGACTCCCTCTTCTTTGGGGCAGCCCCTGAGAAATTGGAACAGAGCTATTATATCACCCTTAGTCCTTCTTTTCATCAAACTAGACATACCCAGATCACTGGGATGGGAGGAATTTCACCGAAAAAAACATCTCAGAAAGTTCCGTAAGAAATTTATTTATTTATTCAATATCCCACCTTATTATTTTTAATAAGGATTGGAGGAAAACCATCTAATAAACAAAACCTCTTCTTGAATTACACACTGATAGCCTTTTTAAATTTTATTTTATTTTATTTATTTTTATCCCACCTTTATTATTTTTTACAAACAACCCAAGTGGGTGAACATATCCAAGACACCTTCCTTCTCCTTTTTCTCAAACAACCACACTGGGAAGTGATTTGCGCTGAGGGACAAAGACTGGCCCAAAGTCACCCAGCTGTCTTTCCTGTTAAGATGGAACTAGAACTCACCATCTCCCATTTTCTAGCCTGGTACCTTAATCACTAGACCAAACTTTATCTATCCCTCGATTCTCCAAATCACCAAATAAAATTCCAGCCAATGTCCCTTCCATTTAGAGATGCAGCTTTCTTAATTCAGAAAGGTTTCAAACATCAATAGCTTAAGCTACAAATTAAGGAAAGTGCATCGATAGGTTAGGGTATAAATATTTTGTAAATAAATGATTGTCACGCAAAGCCAGATTTTTTTAAAGGAAAAAAAAACACATTTCTGTTTTCAGCAATCATATTATGTGCCAGTAGCTCACATATGTTAATAGTTTGTTGTGTGAAAAAAAAATATTTTGGGGGGTACTGAAAATCCTGCCAATCAATTTCTTTGGATGTTTGCAAGTGAAATTCTTCCAAGAGAGATGACATATTTTCACCCATGCCCTTGTCCCACATTCATTGCATTGGATAAACTTTCTCATTGGATAACCCCATGCCCCTTGGTTTTTGTGTGTATTTAAGAGAATGATGGAAGCTCTTGTAAATTCATTTATGCACCAGAAAAGAGGGAAATTGGGCGTGAAGGATTCCACCAAGCATGCTACCAGTCACTCTATGATTGTAATGGGAGGTATTTACATTTGACAAGAGAAAGAAAGAAAGAAAGAAAGAAAGAAAGAAAGAAAGAAAGAAAGAAAGAAAGAAAGAAAGAAAGAAAGAAAGAAAGAAAGAAAGAAAGAAAGAGGGAGGGAGGGAGGGAGGGAGGGAGGAAGAGAGGAAGAGAGAAAGAGATGGAGAGAGGGAAAGAAAGAAAGATAAATAGATAGATAGACAGACAGACAGACAGACAGACAGACAGACAGACAGATGATAGATAGATGGATGGATGGATGGATAGATAGATAGATAGATAGATAGATAGATAGATAGATAGATAGATAGATAGATAGACAGACAGATTTCTTACACCAAACACAGGGCTACTTGCAGAGATGGCCTTTGAGATATTATGAGACATCTACAGATGCATATGACATGTTTTTACTGGGAAACAGGAAAAAGCCATAAAACAGAAACTCAGATGGGGTCTGCCCTAAGTCACAAGCGTGTAAGAGGGGTGGAAGGGAAAATGCAGTCAGGCTTGTAAGATGCTGTTACTATCTCAATAAAACACAACCCAACCAGTCAAATGTGATCAAACTGGCCTACCCCTAGTGGTAAGAAGCTTTACTCTAATTGCAACAGCAGAAGTAGAGAATTTGGTCTCAATCACTTGAACATCTTTCAGAATATGCAACTCTGCAGCAGGTAACATGAAAACTGAAAGAGGGTGCCAACGAAAATACAGACTTGGTTTTGGAAGTCATCTTTCTTTTATTGTTTTATGGGATGGCTTCTGAAGTAACGAGCCAGAAATCAGTCTTCCTCCCTCCCTCTCTCTTTCTCCTTTTCTGTGAATTTTTCTGAAAACAGTTGAGTTGGTTTACTGGACACATCTGTCCATTGTATTGAAAAGTGGCCTTAAAAACTTCTCAATTACCTCAAAGGAGAGTAACACATAAAGCATGTGATCATGATTCCTTCCTTCCTTCCTTCCTCCCTCCCTCACTTCCTCCCTCCTTTCTTCATCACAAAACAAGATAGAAAGACTTGCACATGGATTAGAGAAAAACAAAAGTATAGGGTGTCATCAAGAGAGTAAAATAATTGAAATGGAAATGTGCTGGCCACGTAGCAAGAAGAATTGATGGCAGGTGGACCAAGGCAGTCATATGGATCCCACTTGATCAAAAGCATCCACAAAAGAGATCTAAAACAATATGGAGCAACAACATCAGTATGTATTGTGGGCCCAATTGGCAAAAGAAAGCTCAGGACCATATGAGCCTCGG